CCTTCATACGAGGGGACTGAACTGCCCCTTCGTAAACCAGTTCCCACGCAGGCACACTCCCTCGTAGGGCCGTGTCTGCACCCTGCTCGTGACGCCGCTGCTTCGCGGGTCAGCCTGAGGTCGACATGTTCGATGGTGTGCTCTGGGCAGAGGTAGAAGTGATGCTGGAGAGCGAGTGAGCTGTTGGTAAAACTGCTGGGGCAGGCTGACCGACAAGGACACAGCCAGGCCGCTGTGACCAACGCAGGACCAAGAAAGGCCTGGGGCACCAGAGGTGCCTGCAGAGGCTTCAGCACAACGGCCGGCTCCAAGCAGCTACCCTTCCCAGGAGCTCAGGCTCCCAGCCTGGGCATGCACGAGGCGGCCCGTCCATGCCCCAGCAAACAGCAGCACAGACTCTGGAGGTTGAGGTGACCACTGCCCGTTAACTTGGTAGCACAAGGGTCCGAATAAATCTGAGAACGAGCAGACCCAGCAGGTTTGTCCACGTCACCCACGTCTCTGCAATTCCTGGGAGTGGGTGTGTGGGGAGGGCAGGGGAGCCCACCCCTCTCCTGGTGCAGCTGAGGACACCGAGGGCATGGGGCCAGGCAGGAGGGGTGCCCAGAACCCAGAACAGCATCTGCCCGAGTTCCTCTGTGTGTGTGACTTACATCACCAGGGAACACGGGAGGATGTGGGTGCTCTGTTCACTGTTCCCTTCCGCGTGTCTCGGAGGGAGTGCCACCCGAACAACATGACTTCTGGCCCCAAGGATGGTCTCATTTGTCACGTCTCTCAGAGGACCAGCCTCTTCCTTATGCAGGTGTTAACCATCTCCAACACCACAGGCCCTAAACAGTCAGTCTTCCCTCTCTCTCTCTCTCTCTCTCACACACACACACACACGCACACACACCACACACCCCTGTGGCTGTGGGAGGATACGGCTGGGGGATGGCGAGCGCCGCCCAGGGCCCAGGCTGGGCGGCTCCAGCATGTGCCCGTGGGTGGGGGCCGGCGCCCGGCTCTGCTCCCAGGCCTCGTCCACTCTGACGTGGGGACCCAGGCGGTCATCTTTGGTATCGGGGACTCCGGCACTTGCTGATGGCTTCGGGGTGGGAGCAGTTCTCAGAGGAGCGGGAGGCACCAGGAGGCCAGGGGGAATGGCAGCGATGGCCGAGTCCGCGGACTCGCCCTGGACGGAGAGGGTCCGCACGGTCACGCCCTTGGCTTCCAGGCTCCGTAGCCGCACGAGCTCCACGGCGGTACCGTCCGCCATGGGGGCGGCGACCTCGGCCACCTGCCACAGAGACAGCCTGCTCACAGGAGGGCCGGCACCCCTGGATGGGGCGGGGCCCACACCGCGCAGCCTGCACTCACCCGCTGCCCCTTTGCATACACGCCGTAGCCCGTGACATTGGCTCCGTTGGACAGCCCGGTGGTGGTCAGGGCGGGCGGCCTCCAGGAGACGTGGACCATGGCTGGGGTGGCCCCAGCCTGGACGGTGACATCCTGTGGGGAAGCAGGAGGACCTGGGGGACAGAGGGCAGAGGAGCCTTCAGGGCCTGGCCCTTGGCAGGTGAACAGTGACTACACTCAGCTGTCTCACCTGGAAGGGGTCATGCGTTAAGAAGCACAAACTTCCAGTGATAAAATAAGTAAGTCATGGGACATAATGTACAGTCAGTGTCGCAATAACGTCATGCGGTGACAGATGGGTAGATTACCGGGTGCTCACGTCGCCAAGGCATGTCAATACTGAATCACTGCTGCACACCTGACATGACATCGTATGCGTATGTCAACTCTACTTTAACAAAAATGAAATAGAGAAAAAAAGAAGTCGCCAGGGCAAGGAGGAGAGGCTAGGAGGTGTGAGAGCAAAGCAGGGGTCTGGGGGCGCGGACGGGCCGCAGCTACGGCCACACCACTGAGCTGTTTACTCCACTTCTGTCGTCCCTCTGGCCCACCTGTGCACTGGTTCTGTCTGTGACCGGACCCAGCTACCGGGGCCCCGTCTCCAGGCCCACCGAGGACTCAGGCCTGGCCAGTCAGCCCCATGACAGCTTCTAGACGGGCCAAGGGGACCCAGTGTCTGACAGAGGGAGCCTTCTTTGTCCTCTCCCTCCCCTTCTGCCTGCCTCCAGGAGCAGAGGTGGGGCTCTGATGGGGCCACCGGAGCCTGGCAATCCAGCTCCAGCTCCACACGCAGACTTCCGGCCAGCACCTGCTGACACGTGTCCTTTGCTCCTGGGTCGGAATCACCTGCACTGCATCTTGCAAGAGAAAGCCTTGAGCGGCTGATTTCCAGCATCAGGTGTCAGGGGGCCTGTGGCCTTGATCCAGGTGGCTCCTGGTGACAGCAGGGCTGGCTGCCTGTCCTGCACTGTACCCCAGGGTGGCTCCCTTCCCCACATCCGCCTGTGTGTGAGCCCTTTATTTGGAAAGGGACACATTTCCAGCTTCAGGTGGGAGGCCGTGACGCCACATCCTCA